CCAGTGCTGAAGTAATCCCAACCCTACATGCAGTGTTATAAGCCAACATACTGTGAATAAAAATCACTGTAACAGACTGAGTGATAGAAGTCATCATCAATTAAGTCCATATCATTCTTTTCTTCTTGCATGTGTGACCATAACACCAGTGTTGTAAAAGTGACTCTCTTTCAACGTGAATACACCCACACTGACATGCACGAGGTGGTTTGACTTGAAGAATTGTTGGGGTAGGAGGCCACCATGCCTTTGCCAGGGTTTGTTTTGACGCCGTGAGCATAATTGTCTGCTAAGGTGTCTTTTAATGGTTTGGGGGATTAGGCCTTATTCTTGTGCAGTCTTTGACTTGGCTGATTTCCTTACAGCACTGGCTTCAAATGAAGATGATGGGCCACCGATAGATCGGGGTGGAGCACAAGGTTCAAAGCCTGAGCAAAGCTCAGCTGAGAAAATGGTTTCAGATCAGAGCGCCAGCAAAATGGAAGATTCTAAAGGTAATGTTACACCTTGTGTCTGTGTAATGGCAGGACAAAAAAGTGTCTTGTTTAAAAGCTGAACACCAAGCAATCTTGAAAAGCAGTACAGTTATGTATTCATAACAAATATTTCTTTTTGTTTTGCCCATTGACGGCTGGAGGAAGACTTAAATTCCAAAATCGCCAGGTTTTATACTGTTGTCTACAGGAGACGTGGACACTGGCAAAGGACAAACCTGTAGGCCAGTCTGGGATAACCCCTCCTATGCCAGCATGCTTGAATTATTTGCTAGTGTACAAAAAAAAAATTTTTTTGTCTAACCTTTTTCTCCACACTGCTGCTAGAGTTGGTCTCTACAATTTCATCTAGCCAGTGCAGTGTCCTCAGTTTAACCTTTGGAGTGGTCCATCCAGACCTTTAGACACTGGGTTTAGTATAAGGTGCTTTCTACACCCCATTCTAGTAACAAGCTAGCCATGGAGTGCTTTTCAGGTTAACGGCTGTTGCCATTTTCCCAGTGCTTGTCCTATCACTTATTCCACTAACTCCCTCTAAGTAGCCTGATTAGGCAAAGCACAGGGAGCTACCTCACATATTCAGATCATTGGATGCCTTTTAAATTCCTGCTTTCTGCCAGTTCCCACTACAGATGGGGTGAACTCTGAGGAACTTTGTGATAACATCATCCACTTGGTGTTGTGGCGCATACACTCCACATGCTTTCCCGCAGTTGTTTCATGAATACCTGAGGCCTTGCCTTGTACCCTGATCTTTACTTTGCATAAGGACCATACCATTGCAACTTATCTGATTCTAGACCTAGGGATGGCAGTCCCGCTGTATTGTTTGCTCTTCGCTCACACTCTACTAACTGATCTCCTGTTGCTTGAAGCACACCTAGTGATGCGTCCAACATCTGCAGGGTTCCCTTTATTTTCAGTTTGTGGTCCTCCCATGTAGCCTGCCATCTGTACTTTCCTAAGTGACTTCCATTTGAGGGTACAGTTACCACATGTTCTGTCAAGCAATGTAGCCTTAACTTACCAGATTTAGGAATGGTTTGTATGGATATGGAACCTTCAGAAACTAATGCTGGAACCAACTCAATTGGAGTATCTTGGTTTTTTCCTAGACACAGCTCAGGTTAGAGTTTTTTTTTCTTTCCATGGAGCAACTCTGTACTCACAGACATGTACTCTTCAGTCCAGGAGTTGTCTGTCTCCTTCTGCATGAGAGTCCTGGGTCTGGTGGTAACTTCCTTCAAGGCAGTCCTAGTTGCCCAGTTTTACTCTTGACTACTGCAATGCAATATTTTGTCATTGTGTCACAAGGTAGTCCAGTCTCTGGACAGACCAATTTGTTTGGGGCCGAGGACCAGGTTGTCCCTGGTTTGGCTCAGGATTCTGGCTCTGGAATCAAGAAAATCCTTTCTTCCCTTCCTTTGGAATATCCTTGCCCTCTAGGACTTTTCAACGTTGGGCTACTTTTTCCTGGATTGTAAGGTGGCACATGTTCTTCTGTTTACACATTCTCTGAGTTCTACCAGGATGTTCAGGCCTCATTTGATGCCAGCTTCAGGTGTAAGGTCCTCCCACCTTGGTTCCTTGAGCTTCAGGTGTAAGGTCCTCCCACCTTGGTTCCTTGAGCTTCAGGTGTAAGGTCCTCCCACCTTGGTTCCTTGAGCTGCAGACTCTGCAACAGTATACATATGCAAATAGAAGCAGAGACCAGAGTGTGCAGCACTTATTTAACTGTGCAAACAGCAAGCTGAGGGTGATTGCGTCCTGCAGTAGTGATTCAGTGAATGTCTTGACTGGATTACAAGACTGACTGTAGAGAATAACAGATCATTTGGCAGGTAAAACTGTACCCATGAACAATGTGCATTTAGCTGCTTGGCTGGAATCCAGCTTTCAAAAGAATATCTTTCAACACTGCATATGTAAATGTGCAAATCCTATTCACATGAGAATCATTTGTATTCTGAATGTGTTAACTGCGTCCAAACCACATGGAGAATTACATAGGTTTGAATGGGCTCTTAGTAGCATGACATTTCAGCACTGATGCACCACTGGCTCTTTATCTTTAAAGAGGGTTGAGGTAAAAACTAAAGTTTTGTCATATCTCCTAACAATGGTTTCTACCTCATGGTGGCTTGTTTTTTAAAAAGCACTTTCCAGGCTTTTATAGCCTCCGGGTCTCCCTTTAAGAAAAAGAACCAAATGTTTTACCGGTATGGCGATAGTTGGGCCCCTTCAAAATGGGCTCTTTAGGTTGATGTCCCTTGATAGGGGTCACATATATAGAATTTCCAAAAATGTTGTCCCAAGTTCTTGGGTGATCAATTCTTCTCATTGGAGGGATGAAAGTTTGACTTTAATGATCTAATCCAGCTTTAGATTCGTCACTTACAGCTAGGCCGACTTTTGAAATATACATGCCAACCCTTAAAGGATAAGTTCACCTTTTAGTAAAAAATAATAAATGCAACTTTTTTGCTGGTAAAAAAATGTGAATTTTTTATTTTTGTCTGCAGAGCCTGTAAAGCATTGCACCAGCGATTAGCATATCTCTGGTGCCATGCAGGTCTCCTGCAGATCTGTCAGTATATCTGCTTGTCCAGACAGGTTGTAGAAGCAAGCAGATATACTGACAGGAACAATGAATGAACTACCACAGTGCTCCACAGCGCCGTGGTAGTTCTTTGAGGAGTACAAGCTGACACCCACTAAGGTTGTCGGGACTTGTAGTCTCTCATTCACAGAGGACTTTTAAACTTTTGACTAGCGGGGGGGAGAAGATGCCCTATTAGCTGTCAAAGTGGGGGCTGGTCTGATCATAACATGTTACACCCTGAATATGGGTGTCACATGTTACTGAAGGTGAACTTATCCTTTTAATCTATCCTATTTTCAGTTGCTCCATGTAAGTGCTTACCACAGACTTGGAGGGGGGAATGCATGTCATAGAGAAGACTTAAAACAATTTTGGAGACAATGTATATGCAATAAGAAACTTGCACATTGATGAAAAAAGGTGTTTTCTATATGAATATTTCAACTGACTTTTTTCATATAGAACTTCATATAGAACGGCCGGAAAAACCTGGCAGTGATTGTATCCCTCCTCCACACTGTATATAATTTTTGTGTAGACTTATGCTTGCATGTGAAACTCCAGCACAAACCCCTTTTCCCCTAGAGGAGGACTACTGTTTGTGTCTTTGTTGAGAATGTTCACCTTCACTTCCTGTCCTGGAGAGACCATTGGAAGTATGGGGAACAGGAGCCTCTACAGATTCTGTTCTCTTCTCCTGGTGTATGCTGCAAAATGTGAGATTTTTCTTTTTTCCGGGACAGACAGTAGTAATATTTTGCCAGATGTTCTATGCTTCCCTACTAAAATTAAAAAACAAGAAAAAAAATTTGGGGTGGATCTCTTACTTCAAATGCTACTTCTCCTTTTAGTATCATCACAGCTGTAGTCTGTTGTGCTAATAAATTTTTTATGTTTTGTTTTTTCCTGTTTTTAGAATGTCAGTAACCTGTAGAATGAGGCTGGAAACATACCTTCTCATTTTGGTGCAATTTATATTTTCTCTTATGCATTTTCCATTGAAATCAATGCAAAAGTATCAAATGGTAAAGCACATTGCTTTGCGTTTGTAGCAGACTTTACAGTGCAATTTTGCATTGCATGTCTGTACACAATGACTTCCCTTTTTAATATGTATTACTTTGCACGTTGACATATTTTGTTGTGTTTACATTGAAATTAATGGAAGATGCATTGGGCCACAACTCAAAGGTGTGTGTTCCAGCCTAAGTGCAGTCATTTAAGCTGCATTAGCACTAAAGTGATGATGTTCAATTGGTAATTAATTTTGTGGTTGATACCCCTGCCAGGCCAAGGTTCCCTTACATGTGAGATGTGTGGAGCGTGCTTTGAGACCCGGAAGGGCTTGGCCAGCCACTCACGCTCCCACCTACGGCAACTTGGGATTCCAGGGTCTGAAACCACTGGTGCTGCCATTGATATGCTGAAAGAGATAGTCAAGCAGGGCAAGCTTCCGAAAGATGAGAGCTCATTGGGGGCCAAGAAGGTGGTCAGTCCCCAGCAAGAATCCTCCAAAGTCCAGTGGGGGGATGAGGACGGGCCTTTGAATCTGAGTGAGTGGAGCTGGGAGGCCACTAGTGCCAGGGGTGGGCATTTTAGGAATGTTGGGAGGCTATGGGGAGGCATCTGCTGTAATATTCAGCCTGTCTCACGCTTTCCTTTCTCTTCTCTTTGTCTCCACATTCTCCCCTCACCTGTCACTGTCTCTCATTTTTTACCATTTCTACTTCTTTCTTCATTAATACCTTTTTATAATTTTGTTTTAATTTTATATTCTATATAATTTTTCATCATGTTATTTTTCACCATTTCATTTCATTCCCATTTTGTTTTGTGTTTGTATACCCCTCACGTCATCTTACAGGTGTGGAAGGAGAACCAAACCGAGAAAAAATGCCTGCGAGTTTTGTGGTGCTTGGTTTGAGACCCGAAAGGGCCTGGCCAGCCATGCTAGGGCCCACTTGCGCCAGTGGGGAGTCAATGATCCAGATTCAAAGGGTTCCTCCATTGCAATATTAAACACTCTCCTAAAAAGCGAGGGATTTCAAGAAACGATTGTCCGGGCAGACAGCAGCTGACCATCATGCCAAAGCTCCTAGCAATAGCAGCTCCACAGAGACAGAGCGCAACAGTAGCACAAAAAGCAAAGAGACTGGCACATTCACCAAGCCAACAGAAAACACAAATAAGGCAAGCAGCGATGCCTCTGTGAATCTCTCGGAAGTTGGCTCCCGATCCATGTTGGCAGACAGTGGTCTGAAATTAGCAGACAGTACAGGGCCTATAGAAACTTCTGCACATTTGAAATCCCCTAATGGGTCAGGAAATGGCACACAAATCAAAATAGTTGAAGCTGGTGCTCCTCGTGTCCTGTCTCCTGAGACTGGTGCTTACTCAAAATTAGTTGAAGCTGGCAGTTCCCAAGTAAAGCCAGAGGCTGGTCATGGCCATGGTAAGTTGGAACCTGGTAACCAATCAAAGCCTTCCATAGGAGGCCTCGCTCATCCCAGACTGCCACATGCTAGCACGCCACCTACTAAAAAAATGAAGATGTCTTCTCCATCCTTTAAGGCTAACCTGGATTCCTACTGGGCTCAGAAAAATGCCTCTTCTCCGCTCAATCTTTGTGAGTATTTATTATAGGGTTTTGGAGCATAAGAAATATCTATTTTGTTGCATGTTTTCTTATTGATTTTTTTTTTTTAGTAAACCCAGAAAATTATTATTCCCCTGATGGGAGATACTTTGTCTGTAGAGACCCTGACTCTTTAGAGTTAAGTTTAGGAAAAGGGGACTTACATGCAGTAAAGAAGGCCACATCACTAAACGGTAAAAAAATTAATGAAATGTGTAATTCATGGGATTTACTACTTTCTGAATGTTATTTTATTATAACCTGCTTTTCTAAGTAAAATAAAGCAACACAGGATTAGCTCTGTTGTCTTCTGCCACTATTTTTATTACATACACACTGTTTATGATAACCCTCTCTGGCATAAAAATTGAAAGTGGAGCATTTGTTTACTAGGCAGCTTCTGATAGTGAAAATTATGATGTTTTACATTCTGGTTATTGCTAAAGCTTAAAGTGATCATAAAGATTTACAAAAAAAAACATGTCATACATTCCTGCTCTATGCAGTGGTTTTGAACCAAGCAGCCCCGATCTTCCTCTTCCCTGGTGCTCCTGGCTCCTCCTCCCTGCTGAATGCCCACATAGCAAGCCGCTTGCTATAGGGGCACTCGTGTGTGCGTGCTCCCGAGCTAGCTCTGTGTGCCCTCTGTTCCTTCCTCACTGGCTGTGATTAACAGCAGTAGGAGACCATGTCTACCACTACTTTCTCTGAGCCAATGAGGAAGAAAACAGCCGGGAGAGCTGCTGCTCTTCTGCACATCACTGGATTGAGATCGGGCTAAGGTGCGTATTGGGTGGGGGATAGCATGCTGAAGGATTTTTACCTTCATGCATATAATTGGGATGCCAAGGGGCCCACTACATGGCAGTTGTTTGTTTGTTTTTTACTTTGCCTTTCCCATATCCATAATTTCTGATCAGTATTTCAGTGTATTTTATAACTGTTATCCAAACTTGAGTTTGTTTCTCCTCTTTTTGTTTAATGCTCCTTTGTCAAATGGTGAATTTTGCAAGTACTTATGCAGGGTTTCTTATCTTCAGTTGTAAATGATAAAACTAAGTGGCAGAAGATAGGGTGTAATTTGAACTGTCATGAAAGAACCAGTAAATCTATGTGAACTCACAGTATTGTCCATACGTTCTAAATTGCTATGTATAGTAAAGCTGAAGTCCAGGCAAACCAATACATACCCTGTCTAGCATTGGAGGGGACTTAATCCTCTCTGCTGCAGTCTCACTTTTAGATCCCCACCCTGTGACTGTACAAAAGAACCAACACACCAATATGCTCATCTTACACTCCACTATCTTCTATCAGCATGCTGCTTGCACATTGTTGGCTCCATGTTCTACTTGTCCCTCCCCTTCGAGCTCTAGCTACTTCACTGCTTGCATTTAAACTAAAAAGAATTGAAGGATGTATTAATTAGCACAAATCTACTTTGATTTGACTTTTATATCTGCCTAGAATTCAGCTTTACCTAAGATGATTGGCATTTTAGCCCAAACATTTTATATGTGGCAAATAGCTGTTTTTTGGTAGAGTTTATTCAACAATATTGTGGATATGTCTGATAAGGGTGACCACAAATTGCAGCCAGATCCTCAATATTCTTTTACTAAATCCTACCAAAAAAAATAACATTTTATTCTCTAACTGGCTATAATAGAGGTTGATTGTGTTTTTTGGCAAGGTAGTAGTGTGGAGGGAGTTTCATCAAAATTAGACATTTATCTTCCTCTTCGTTGTGATAAGATTTGACTTCCATTTAAATCCAGCAGTCTGCTAAAACCCATTTCTAAAGTAGATTTACTGGACTTTCATGCTTTTCTTGATTTGGAGTCCTGTTTTTGGTTTGTGCATGTACTGTGTGTATATGGAAATGTTGTGTTCATTATCTCTAGACGTTCCACTGTTACATTGTGCTCGTACTAACATGCGCCTTTCTTCAACTAATAACTGCATTGCTTGCTTAAACAATAACCTTTTTCTTTCTGAGGCGCTGGACTTGGTAACCTTCTACCCCAGCTCTACCATATCAATTGTTTTAGGTCTCTGAAATATTTTCAGGTGATAGTTTTGTGATAATCTCTTTGCAATCTTGGCACAGTAAGTGGAATAACGGGATGTGGTGTGTTCACCAAGTTTGGTAGCAGGCATTATGGGGGCAATATATGAAAAGTATGCCAATTTTCTTTACCAACTAGTCACAGCCCTTGTTTAACCATTTGAGTCCTCGGGCCTTTCTCCCTAAATCCCTTTGAGTTCCAGACTGAGGACTGCGATTGCTAAAAATTCAAGTTACTTCATGTTTACTTACGTGAGCATTTAATACTTACACAGTGAACTCAAAATTCCTCCATTTTTTTTTCTAAGTTATTTCTTGATGGGGGGGGCAGAGGATGTAAATGGTGGTAACAGGACCCTTCTGGAAAGCAAATTCTTTTCTACAAAACAAGAAAGAAGGGAATAATTTATTATGTGTAATAAAAAAAATATTACAGGAGGACCCAAGAAAAAAAAAAACCTGCTATGTTAGTGTATGTCAAGGTTTTTTTATTCTTACATATAGTTAGACTGAGGAAGGGTTAGAACTCCAGTCATGGTTTTTTGGGGGGGTTTTTTTAGGAACTTTTAAGGTCCGTGTTGAGGTGCTTCTTTTTTTCTTTTTCTTTAAGTGCTTCTAAAGCCTTAAGTTTTCCACCTTTAATGCATTCTATGCATTAAGGTGAAAAAACGTCTGTGCTACAAGATGCCCGCCATCCCCCTTATACTTAGCTGAGCCTGATCTGATCCAGCGATGTGCAGAAGGGCAGCTGCTCTCACAGCTGTCTCCCTCCTCCCTGAGCAGTTTGATAGTAATGGGAGCCATTGGCTTTCCATGGGGGGTACCCGCCGAAGAGGAGGAGGCAGGAGCGTTAGTCAGCGGGGGCCCCCAGAAAAGGAGGATCCAGTATGCTCTGTGCTATACCATTGCACAGAGCAGGTAAGTATGACTTTTTTTTTATTAAACCCTCACCTTATAAAACAGATCCATTCAGCTTAAAATTGAAATGAAAGGCAAAACATTTATGCGTAGCTATTAAAAGAAAAAAAATATATAAATACCTTTTTTTTTTTTTTTTTTCCCCCCCTCTGCTTCTTAAGTGATCACATACCCTCTAAGTTCCTTATACAGCTGAGAACACAGCTATGAAAGGAGAAACGGCAGCACATGGAACTTTCCAGTGAATGGCTGTGCAGGGGGGGGGGTGTGAGCAGAAGTCTGATCATTGGGGGAGAGCACACCGAGTTCCCAGCACAGTCCTCAAACTGACCACGTTCTGCTCTCATGCCTAGTGTGGTCAGTTTTTAATAAGAAAGCAGAGGGACTGGCAGGAACACCAGGGATTTCGCACAAAGAAAGCAATACAAAGGGAAAAGATACAGTATTTTTCTATACAAGTACATACAGCAGGAATATAGCAGGAATATGAAATGGGTTTACATGTGCTTTAAGAGCTACTCCCCATGCAAGTCTGTGGGAATGGAGAAGCTGAAGCAGGTCAATTTTATGTCAACTGTACGTGCCATGGATTATGAATCCTCTCTGAAAGCATCTCAAACTAAAATCAAAAGCACACTGCATTTGCCCATTGAAGTCTATTAACACAAACATTCATGCACACAGGTTGTTTTACTGCCCCTTTTTAGGGGCATCTGGTGTTTTTTTTTTTTTTTTTTTCTTTGTTTTTTTTTTTCCCCCCTATGCTTCCAAAACACCCCTCCATGTTAACCATGCACATATAGACTTTTAGCAGCCTTTAGTGGCAGGACTGTTTACAGGCAGAAAACAAAACCCAGGGCCAGTGCGTCCAAGAGCAGCAGCATTTTGGCAGAAAAAAACCACTTGACACGTGTGAATGTGTCTAAACATGTGTTCAGGTTAGGCATGGTTAATGGTTGAGCGTTAACAATTAATTTTGGCCTTTGAAATAAATTAACTCTTTTACAAGCGTCAGGCCAGGAGGAAAAGCTTCTAGGAGAGTTCTTAAAACACTCTGTTTGCGTGAAGCCTTGGAAAGATTTCCCTCATTTCCTGTCCTGCTTGAACCAAAGAGGAAATGAGAGGAACTTTCCCAACAAGATTGGGTGAGGGAAAAATTAGTATTTTTGATTCTTTTTATACAGTAGAGGAATTCTAGATCCCACGGTGGCTTGGTTATTTTTGTCTCTATGCCTGTTTCAGATTTCCTCATTTCCTGTCTAATGAATTTATAATGGGATAGAGAAGGAAGAAAAATTGAATGGCACCGAAGATAGCGATAAGAGCCAGACAGCCATTCTATGCCTTACACACTCAAAAACAAAAAAGATATTTGGCCTGGCATACGAGTTCAGACCTGCAAAGTTGTCTTAAAGTGGTTATAAAGCCTGACCATTTTTATACCTTAATGCATTCCTTGGACTAAGGTAAAAAATGATTAAGCATCAGACTCCAGTGGTGTGAGATGTCCACCAGAGCTTTCCGCTATGACACATGTCAAGCCGGGTGAATGCTGTAATCATTTTGAATCTTTGAGTTTCCAGATAGTGGATGTAGGCTGAAGGCTGTTTTTTTCTAAATTACTCATTTAAAACTGGAACTCATTTGGTACTTTACCTGTATTTTTTTTGTTTCTGCTCAGCTTTGCCTCGCATATCCTTACTGGATCACCTTGGCTGTGCTAATCTCTCTGCTTTGCTTCCTTGATGCGCTTGCATGCAGTTTTGCTTTCATCAGTTTAGTGTGGTCCTGTGCACTGTGCTCCAGTATGAATTTACAGATGAAGACCAAATTGATCAGACCAAAGTGAACAGTCCTTTTTTTTTTTTTAACTTTTAAAAAAGTCTTGCCTAAATATGGATATTCCACATGTGCCTTTTGTTACCTTAATATTGTCCTATTAAGACCATTCTCTGTGCTCCTTTAAGTTGATTTACAGAAGCTGGACTTCAGGTCTTGCCCAGCTGCCATCATCCTTTCCATTGAGAGCACATTAATACTTATTAATGACGCTCATAATAGGTGTTGTCTTTTGTAGATGGGGCTTAGCCCAGAACTTAGAAAGTCAAGCCCTACTGACAAAGTGAAATGTTTGGAGCACAGAGGACATGGCTATTTAAAATAATTGCAGGGAGCCGTGTATTGCTTGCTCTTACTCGGGACATTTTAAATGTTAGAATGGCTGACAGGTTTACTTGCATCTTATCAATCATTGATTTAACATTATAAGGGTTTGTATATTTGTTAGCAGGGTTACAACATGGAATGTGCATTGACTTGCTATGATGGTGTGCTGGTAATGGATCTCTATGGTTACTGCAAGTTTTAGCACAACTCAAAATCTGTGGCCACTTAACAGCCTTATTAAAATTGTACATAACATTTATGTGAATTCGTTTTTGTCCCCTTAACCAGTTCACTACCGGCCACAGTATAATTCCTTTGGGCGGGCGGCATGGGCAGGCTTGATCACGTACATGTACATCATCCAGCCTGTTCTGAGTTAGGGTTGCACGTATGCTGACTCGTGCTGTCACTGGCTACAGCAGGATTTTGTCAGCAGGTCCTGGCCAGTGATTTATGGGTGAGACCTGCTGATCAGCTGTAGCCAATCACAGCACAGTTTACAAAACACACAGGACTCTGTACACAGATCAGCGATCTGGCTGTTTCTTTTCCCTGCAAACTGCACTCCTGTGACCTGTTTTCAACCATTACCCCTGCTGTCGGCTGATATCACAGAGCCAGCCCTGGCTCTGAGAAGATCCCAACCATATGCCTAGACCGGCAGCTGGCTCAACCACTCAGCAATCTGATAAGAGTTTGAATCAGCCACAACTGCCCGCTCCACAGCTCAACGCTCTAGTGAACGCTGAAGAGGCAGATCAGACAGTCACTGGCTCTCTGCAGGCTAAATATTAAGCAATGAGCGATCAGCAGTGTTTGACCGCTCGGTACTCTGTCTTAGAGGCGGCAGGGGATAGCTGCAGTCATCTAGGTGAGTATTATTGTTTATTTTTTTTTCTATTTCTGTACTTCTCTTTTAATGTAGTTCATCACAAATTTTTGTGCTATATTAAAGAAATGCTTGAACTCAGTTAAGTGGTACACGCTGAGGGCTTGTGCTCTATATTATCTCAAAAGCATTTCAAACAGAGATCAAAAGAAAGCTGTATTTGCCCATCAAAGCTTGTTGACTCAGGCCCTAACATCTCTGCTGCTGCACACCCCCTTTAAACAGCACCATTTTCATATTGGGAGAAGGGAGGTTAATATGACAGGTTTGAAGATTATTAAACATAGTTTACTAACCAATACCCAAGATAAGTATTGAAATGTATCTTCCCTGCTATAGCATAAACATATGACACTCAAGGGACCCAACAACATGAATGTTATGCTTGTCTTCATTATGAGCAGGTGGTTCTAAAGCCTTAAGGTGTTTTACCATAATGCATTCTATACATTAGGTAAAAAACCTGTTGCAGAGCATCCCCATTCACCCCCCTTATACTTACCTGAGCCGGCTCTTGATCCAGCAATGTGCACAAGAGCTGTGGCTCTGTAACTCTTCACTGGGCAGATTGGGAGCAATTGGCACCCCTCTCCTGTCAATCAAATCCAGTGACGAGGAAGCCCCACTGTGTCAGTAGACATGGACAGGGTAGCTCAGGCGCGAGCCTGCATGAGTGTTCCCTTAGCAAGTGGATTTGTATGGGAGCACTGGGTGGGGGGAGGGGAGCCAGGAGCGCTTGCTGGGAACCCAAGAAGACAATCGGGGCTGCTCTGTGCAAAACGATTGCACAGAGCAGGTAAGTATATTATGTTTATTATTTTAATTAATAAAAACCTGAAGCTTTAATATCACTTTAAAGGAACTACCAACAGAAAAAGTGCTGTTAGAGCATTATGGATTCCCCCGAGTGTTTCTACAATTGAGGAAATGAAATAAACCCCCCCCTTTTTTTTTTTTTTTTTTTTTTTTCCTTCTGAGGTGAAGCTGAAAGATTTTTCTCCATGTTTGTAGCTGACCTGCCATCTAAGAGATAACAAGGAAGTCCCTGGCCTCAGCTTTCCCCTGTACCCTTGCATCATTATATATATATATAGTGATACCCAGGTCCGCTCGCACCAGGAGAGCGTACATCTGCTTTTATGTTACCAAGTTAGTTTAATCAATTTTTTAGGTTAAAATTTAGACAGTTCTTTTAAAGATCACATACATCTTAATGGCTACATCTAAATACCAACAACAAATGGAAAGTTGTGTTCATGTTCATTTTCAGTAATGTGTTTAGAAACATGCAGTCACTGTAGAAATTCAATGAAGTTCACCATGCAGTCAATGCCATGTGTTAATTGCACACTATCTACACATCCACCCTCATACTGGGTCTCATTTTATTAAAGCTAGAGCAGAGAAGTTAGAAATATAAAGACGGCAATTGTGTTTGTCATCCACTCCTCCAGCCCCAAGTTCGGAAGTAGTCCGCTGTGAGTTCTGTGGTGAATTCTTTGAAAACAGAAAGGGCCTGTCGAGCCACGCACGATCCCACCTGCGCCAGATGGGCGTCACAGAGTGGCATGTCAACGGGTCACCCATCGACACCCTGCGGGAGATCTTGGCCAGTGGGATCTGCCCCAGAACGGGCACCAGAATCGGAAGCCCCAGCTTGGAGAAGCTCCTCCCACATCGTCCTCCCGCTTCCCCATCTAGGCCCCACCCGTTCAGCGGGTTGGCTCCAGCAATGCATCGCAAGCCTCCTCGGCTTCCTACCTACCCGGCCAGTGAGTGGCCCTCGGAGCTCTCACCTTTAAACTTGTGTAAGTGGGCAACTGACCCCGCAGCTCTTCATGTGCTTGCTCATTCTATTCATTGCTTCCCATCTTGTACCATCTTGTCTGTTTCATTCATATATTCAATTCAGACCACTCCTGGCTTTCTCAGATAACCCCTTTTATCATTAAGAATCCAAGGCATGACTTGGCATAAGCAGTGAGTTGGTGAAATTGTGTGTGTTTGCAGTCTTTGAGACTTTGAAATGTTGCTATGTAAAACTTAGAGTATTCATGTTTTCTCTGAAGCTGAACCTTCTTTTTTAAGCCTATTTATCATTCTTTTAGACTACAGAGGTATCTTTACAAGCTGTTGGCATTAAATGTGTACATGCTACGCATGCATAAAGGCAAAGAAACCTATTATTTTACAGAAATCAGTCCTAGGCGAAATATGGAAGTTGCCATGGTTCACCCTCTGATGGCTCTCCGGGAATTTAGCCAATGACCTGGGACAAGGACAACTATACATATAAAGATTCTGATTTTGCTTAATCAGCATTGGCAGGCTTCTGTTTTTGTGTAAAGTTTTCCATAGCTTTTAATTTGACTACAGAAAATGGCTTTAATCCCATCAAAAGAATAGTTGCACTTAATTTGGTGTAGTTTATTAAAACATAGACCTTAATGTTGCATGAAAGAATCATTTGGCTAGGTACTTCTGAACTGGTAATTTCCCTGATCCACAAAGATGGCTGCCTCATGGAGCTTGCTTTAAATGTGAAAGTAGAACTAAAGGCAAAACTGTTTTTATTTTGGATAGAGTAAGGGAGAGTTATAACCCCCGTCAGGTCATTTTTTTTTTGCATTGTGTTACATTAAGGAGATTTCACTTTTGTCCAATAGCCAAAACAGGAAGTGAGAGACAATCCCTGCACAGAGAGGTAATCCCTGGTTGTCATCGGAAAGCGTGTCCCCATTGAAAGATTTCCCTCTGGGGACAGCTCAGAAGTTGGGATTTTCTTTCACTTTCAGTGATAACAGTAAACAGGACACATTGGGAGGGTGAATCTCCCCAACACCTCTCTACTTTGCCCAAACCGTCCTTTCTTTAGATATACTTTTAACTACGAGGAGTGTTCAAGTCAAACCGGGACTTTTGAGTTTATATAATAAAACAACAAATTTCAGGGAGTGGGAACATTTATTTTTTTACATACTCCTCTGCTACATTTACACACTTATCCCAGCATTTAACTAATGCCTGGAAAGCTTTGGCATAGAAATATTTGAATGTTCTCAGGAATGACTGCTTTGGGCTGGGAACCACCATGCCTGGGATAGTCATTGATGGACTTATGACTATCTTTGAAACTATTACATCATTAAAATGTCTTACTGCAGCTGAGTGTCTCATCACCGTACTGTGCTTGAGGTCTTCTGCAGATATCCGCAGGTTTTACACCTTCATTCACAAAAAATGTCATCACTACACACTGTTCCATGCACGCACTAACACTGTTGTTTGCCATCTTGATTAACGGTCTCTGGACTGGCCCTAGACATGTGAACTGCCTATCAGTAATAGGACACACTTGCCACTTTTTTGTGTAGTACTGTCACGCTAGCATCCCTTATTATACCTGTAAAAGTAAAGTCCTGGTTTGACTTGAACGCTGTGGTCCCTTACTGTAATTGTGGTACACTGGCTACAGCACAGTCACTGACTGAACAAGCATGTAGATAAGGAAACTTGGTGGCTTTGGAAATCCTTGTCTGCATATCTGTTGCAGTTCAGTAACTCATGTTGAAGCTTCCTTTGCGTGGACTGGCTGTATGCTTGTTCTAGGTAAGTGACTAAGAAAGAATTGTTGCCAGAGAGACAGTCAGAAAATTAGTCAATTTCAAAAGTGGTACCCTTTTTACAGATTTGCTTTATATATCTAACTGCTGTGAAAAGAGGTAGTGTGTCCTAAAATGTTTTCTTTTATTTGTTTCTATATTAATGGTTGCAGTGCCATGTTATTAAACTAAATTGAAATAAGTTCAGTGTGTAATTTGTAAGCCTTTCACATACAGTGAAGGAAATAAGTATTTGATCCCCTGCTGATTTTGAATGTTTGCCCACTCACAAAGAAATGATCAGTTTACAAAATTGAATGGTAGGTGTATTGTAACACTGAGAGACAGAACAGCAACAAAGAAATCAAAAGAACTGCATGTCTAACAAATGATGCACTGATTTGCATGTTCATGAGGGAAATAAGTATTTGATCCCTTTCACAAAACATGACTTAGTACTTGGTGGCAAATCCCTTGTTGGCAATCACAGATGTCAGATGTTTCCTGTAGTTGGCCACCAGGCTTGCACACATCTCAGGAGGGATTTTGGCCCACTCCTCTTGGCAGATTCTCTCTCAAGTCTTTTAGGTTTGGTGGCTGACGTTTGGCAACTCAAACTTTCAGCTTCCTCCACAGATTTTTAATCGGATTAAGGTCTGGAGACTGGCTAGCTTACTGCAGGACCTTAATGTGCTTCTTCTTGAGTCATTCCTTTGTTGCCTTGGCCATGTGTTTTGGGTCATTGTCATGCTGGAAGACCCATCCATGACCTATTTTCAATGCCCTGGCTGAGGGAAGAAGGTTCTCACCCAAGATTTGACAGTACATTGCCCCGTCCATCGTTCCTTTGATGCGGTGCAGTTGTCCTGTCCCCTTAGCAGAAAAACACCCCCAAATCAGAATGTTTCTACCATTTTGTTTGACAGTTGGGATGGTGGTCTTGGGGTCATAGGCAGCATTCCTCCTCCTCCAAAAACTGCAAGTTGAGTTCAAGCCAAAGAGCTCGATTTTGGTCTCATCTGACAACAACACTTTCAACCAGTCCTCCTCTACTTCATTCAGATGTTCAGTGGCAAACTTCAGACGGGCCTGGACATGTGCTTTCTTGAGCAGAGGGACCTTGCAGGCACTGCAGGATTTCAATCCTTGTCGTCGTAGTGTGTAACCAATTGTTTTCTTGGTGACTGTGGTCCCAGCTGCCTAGAGATCATTGACAAGATCCTCTCGTGTAGTTCTGGGATGATTCCTCACTGTTTTCATGATCATTGACACTCCACGAGGTGAGATCTTACCTAGTGCACCAGACCTAGGGAGACTGACAGTTGTTTGTGTTTCTTCCATTTACAAATGTTTGTACCAACTGTTGTCACCTTCTCACCAAGCTGCTTGGCGATAGTTTTGTAGCCCAGTCCAGCCCTGTGTAGGTCTAAAAACTTGTCCCTGACATCATTAGACAGCTCTTTGGTCTTTGCCATGATGGAGAGTTTGAAATCTGATTGATTGCTTCCGTGGACAGGTGTCTTTATGCAGGTAACAAAATGAGATTAGCAGCACTCCCTTTAAGAGACTGCTTCTAATCTCAGCTTGTTACCTGTATGAAAGACACCTGGTAGCCAAAAATCCTGCTGAATGATAGGAGATCAAATAATTATTTCCCTCATGAGCATGCAAATCAGTGCATAATTTGTTAGACATTTCTTTTGATTTTTTTTGTTGCTATTCTGTCTCTGTGTTACAATACACCTACCATTCAATTTTTAGACTGATCATTTCTTTGTGAGTGAGCAAACATTCAAAATCATCAGGGGATCAAAAATACTTATTTCCTTCACTGTATTCGGCTGTACCCTGTGTGTACATGACATCAAGGCTGTTTTCTTCTACCAAAAGCTTCAGTTCCTCTCTTGTTGAGATTTTTTTTTTTTTTTTTTTTGCAAATGTTTTTTTATTCCTAAATTTTAACTGGAACTTGTGATCAGCATTAGGCAAGTGTTTACTACAGTTTGTATTTCAGAAGTATTGTGTTAAATTAAGGCAGAGTAATTACACCATTATAGATTAGGCATTTTGGATTATTTTACAATACTTTCCATGTTTTTTGTATTGCACAAATTAGTTTTACTTGAATGGCTTGTTTTGTAGGGGTTAGGTGTTTTAGTATTTTTTTTTTCTACTTCCCATGAGTATTTTAAGGCCATCTGGGGTACCATTGCTTAACATTAGCTGGCAGCTGTGTGTTTTTTTTTTTTTTGTTTTGTTTTTTTCTTGAGTCTTTTCTGTAGGCATGCTTGATGTGATTTGTGAGACATTGAGATTGTTTCATCTTGCATTTTGTGTGACTTCTGGCAAGTCAGTCTACTAACATTTTGTATAGTTTTTACCCTTTTCCTGCCTTTCTGCTTTTTTTCACCATTTTGGGCCTTTCACTTTGTTGTATTTTTAATATCCACATTCTCTGTTCTTTTGAAGCTTCACAGTCAGACCCCTCCCGTGACATCCGCTGCGAGTTCTGCAATGAATTTTTTGAGAACCGCAAGGGGCTGTCTAGTCATGCACGTTCACATCTCCGCCAGATGGGTGTAACAGAATGGCACGTGAATGGCTCACCCATTGACACTCTGCGAGAAATCATACGCAAGAGGCGACCAGTGACACCACAGCAGCAGGTTTCCAACATCAAAATGGAACCTCGCGGGGAGGATGAGCCACTGAGTCCATCCCACAGACTCTCACCTCTTGGTGTTGGGGCATCAGTAATGGCAAGAGATCTTCCCATTTCGCCTCCTGGGCGCTCACTCAACAGTTTTCTTTCACCGGTACCAACTAAGAGGCCAGCACCTCATGAACCTAGACTTACACAGTCTGAGCCAAAGGGCTATATGAATGCAGAGCCAAAGACTTGCAGCCAGTCTAAACCTTACATACAGGGTGAGAATAGACCAAAATCCTATGTTACAGAGGAGGGCCGGCCCAAGACCTTTGTTCATAGTGATGTCAAGCCAAAACATTTCTTTCAAAGTGGAGACGGGAGACCAAAGACTTTTATGCAAGAAGGGAGACCAAAGGGCTTTTTGCCAAGTGAAAACAGACCCAAGACATCTGTGCATGGTGACGGCAAGCCTAAAATCTATTTGCAAGGTGATGCAAAGCTCAAATCTTTTATTACTGGAGAAAATAAACCTAAGCCATTCTTGCACGGTGAATCCAAGCCTAAATCTTTATCTCCAGATGGCAAGCTTAAGGCTTACATCCAGACAGAGCTTCCATTCAAGGTCAAGGTCAAGGCATCTCCAGAGAAAGGAGCCACAAGCCGTAAGTAATAAGTTTGAAGTATGGCTCTGTTACATGTTCATTACATAGTTTGTAACTGTTTCTTTTTTTCATTCTGTCCATTATCAGTGGAGGCAGCCTGTGAGCTTTGTGGGTTGATTTTTGAGAATCGAAAGGCTTTAGCCAGCCATGCTAGAGCTCATCTTCGACAATTTGGTGTAACTGAATGGTGTGTCAATGGTTCCCCAATTGAAACGCTCCGCGAATGGATGAAGCAGAGACCCCAGAAGGCTGGTGCCTATCTCAATTACATCCAAGCACGTCCTTTCTCCAAAAAGTTCAAACGTGCTTTGCAGAGTCCAAAACCAGCACCAGAGAAGGAAAGCCCAGCTACAACCCCTGTGAAGGTGGCAGAGAAAGAACATAGTGCTCCAACTCCAAGCTCAACCTCTGAAAAGCCAGCTGAACCACAGGGGCAAAGTAAGTAGATTGAATAGATGTCAGGATGCATTTGGTGTTTTATGATATCTAAAAATGTATCTTTGTCAACAGAAGTTGAGCGCCGTCACCCTAAGGCACCTGAAGTTCCACCCTCTCAGGAAGATACTGTTTCTGAACCGCTAGCCAAAAGTGAAGAGCCACGACCACCTGTAAGAGCACGTCCTGTGCCTTCTCTGGTACCAAGACCTCCACAGACCTCTTTAGTCAAGTTTGTTGGAAACATTTACACTTTGAAATGCAGGTGAGATGGCTGTGCTTGTTTTAACCTTTTGATCATCTTATGTAGTACTTAAGAAATTGGTAAACGTTTTGCATGGTGCCCATGTTCCATTTTCTGTGCAAAACAGATTCTGCAACTATTCAAAAAATAAAATAATGGTATGGGTTTTGTGATAGCTTTCCTTCGTAGTCTGATAAAACTTGCCATTTAACTCCTCTTAATATATTCCAGATGCATTAAAACAAAACCGTTCAGTTTTACAGTTTGTTTTCTTTAGAAAGCAGCCACAGCTTGAGTAAAAAAAGCCTGTCCTTTGCCAGCATGTCGCAGGGAAAGACCCTTGCTCTCCATGTGGAAGCAGTGCTCTTTCTGAAGACATGCCCAAGTCCAGAATAAACTGGTGAAAGTTGCTATTTTTTATGTTGTGTGATATGTGCGCAGCTATTTAAAAAATGCATATTTTCAGGAGAAAAATATACTAAAATGAATTTTAGTGCAACCAAACAAGATCATATACCCAATTTTTGGTAAAATATCCACTTCAAGACCGCAATACATACATATACGTTGCTGTTTTAAAAGTGGTTTACAAATTAAATATTTCTCAAAAAAGTAATCTGAAAAAATAGCTGCTGGTTCGTTTTCAGAAGCAGTGGGAGGTGTTGCCCCTCCCATCCCTTTCCGTTGTTTCTCGGGCTTACTTGTCTCTTCAGGTAGCCAGGGAACCAATCCGGCAGTTGCGGCAATATAGAGCTTAGCAGAAACCAGATCGTCTGTGTTAACCTTTAAGAACTAGGAGGCTGGAAGTGATGTCATGATGTTGCTTCTGGTTTAGGGCAGATGTTAACACTGCCACTTTTGGGGGGGAATGCAGTAGATCAATGTGTTTTTTTGGGTTTTTTTTTTTTACCTGATGCTCTCAAGGGTAGAGGAGATATGTGGGGTCTTATAGATCCCACACCTCTCCATAAAGAGGACCTGTCATGCGTTATTGTTATCTTAAGGGATTTTTACTTTTCTTGTGATACCAATGAAAGTGATGAAAAAAAAAATTAAAGGGACAGTGTAAAAAGAAAAAAAGTAATACAATTAAAAAAAAACAAAAAACCCCATTTTAACCATTTTATTCTCTAGGGCCTCTGCTTCAAAAAAAATATATAATGTTTGTGAGTTGTAAGTAATTTTGTAGCAAGAACGCCATTTCCATGTGAACTCCATTTCATGAGTACCTCACTGGGGATCCATTTGGCAGTGGCAGATTACAGCAGCAATGGAGATGGGACACAAGGGCCAAGTAACATGCGTTCTGCAGATGGCTTACAGGAAACGCAAAACACTGTTTTCTTTGTCCTGGAGCAATGTCCTATTGTGACACCGCTCCCCTCCTCTGACTCTAGCTACCTCTCAGGCATGGACCATGAGGCCTGTCTGACAAAAGCAGATTTCTCTGCTGCTATGTCTTTTTGGAAACCTTTTGGTGCTTTGAGAACCATTGGTTTCCAGAGCCCAGAAATGCTACACATCCTCTGTTCCCTCTGACCCTATTCAGCAATCAGAAGCAGATCCTCTTTAGTTGAGAATATTATAGAGGAACGTAGTGAGGACTCTGATTTTGTGGCCCCCCATTGGCACTAGCCAAAAAAGACACTTCCCATAAGCGCACAGAGCGATTATGCACTTTGAGGATTGGCTTGATCCTAAGAGTGTATTCGTTCCACAAGCTGTTTGCTGAGATTTATCGTATGAAAAAGGGTTTTAGGGAGAATTGGGCAATTCTGGTCATGGTTCCTGCAATTTTAGTTCCCAATAAATACTCTACAGTTCCTATTGATGGTGTTCCCTCTTTAATTATTCTGTTGATAAGTGTTTTAAAGCCCTCCTAATGGCCTCCTTTTCCCATGCAGGTCCAGGTCTGCAGCCAGCAATTCTAGCCATGTTTATTTACCAGGCTATTGTTAGCTGGACAAAACAAATAAACAGAGACCAGAAACCTGTCTTTGATGACCCTAATGTCATAGAACAAATACAACTGATGTTCTCAGGGGTATTTTGTTTTAACACTCTATGGAATATAAATTTGCCATGTATCTAGAACAGCCATTATCAACTAAGGTTCCTCCAGAGGTTGCTAGAGGTCTTTTAAACTGTTTGATTGGCCTCTTATCCTAAGGTGCCTGCATAATTCTGGGTACAACACCATGTGGCAGAGCCAACAACATGACACCAGCGAACTTGTTAGCTGTCTGTAATTTTAGCATTCGGATCAGCACTATATGGGGGCATGCTTCCCACTGGCCATCAAAGTAACATTTTTCTGCAGGATTTTGTGGCAAAAAACTTGATCTGCTGAGTCTGCTTGTTAAAAGAAATACATTATTTTTTTATATATATATATATATATATATATATATATATATATATATATATATATATATATATATTTTTCTATGCATGTCCTTTGATGGTGAACATTTATTGGAAATCTCATGATAAACTCATTAGGAAAGTCACTGAAGGAGAAGTGCACCTACCCCACAAGGAAACTACTACTTCTGCTCAGCAAAAGAGATCTTTTCGCCCTCTCCAGGCCTCATCCTCAAAACCAAGGCTTAACACTCCCTTTTGCCGAAAGCCCTGGATTCCTAAGTCCACCAAGCCTACCTAGAATCCTTCCTCACAATACTGGGGTGGCTACACTCATCAGTGTTTGTGCATATTTTGAACTGAGGTGTCCTGGACCTGTGGGTCCAATCTGTCATTTTTTTCGGGGTACAAAATAGATTTTCTATCTCTGCCCTGTCCTTGCTTTTTGCCTGCTAATCTGCCAGCCTCAGAACAAAAACAGATTTAATGACCACCTTGCATCAATTTCAGGCACGAAGTGTGCTTGTACCAGTTCCTTCGTAAAAAAGTTTCAAACCCAAATTCATAGTCTCAAAACCAAACAGGAGTTTACAACTCCCTAACTATCCAGGAGATTTGGTTCCTAGAGGTGTCAAAAACTCCCTAGTACCATTCTGGAACTGAGAGCCATCAGATTATCCTCTTCTGCAAGGTCACCCAGTCAGATTACAGTCAGGCAATTCCTCAGCATTGGCCTACATGGGGGCACCAGAAGTCAAGCTTCCCTAAGTACATGTCTGCAATTCCCCTGGGCAGAATTTACATTCTGCTCTTTTTGCCCTCCGCATCCCTAGAGTGTGCAATTGGCAGGCAGACCTAAGCTGTCAATGCGGGTCAAGTGGTTTCTGTGCCCCAAGATCTTTCAAAATCTCTCTCAATGTTGAGGAAAGCCACACATGGACATCCTGGCCTCCAGGTTCAACAACAAGCTGGACAAATTTGTAGCCAGGACCTTGGGATCCTTTAGCCTTAGCAGGAGATGCCCTGCTGATTCAAACTAGTTTGTGTTCCCTTAAATGAAAATCCTCACTTGACTGCTGCAGAGGATAGCGGGCAGGATCCTGGTGATTCTTATCATACCAAATTGGTTCAGAAGGACATGGTATACAGAAATACTCAGACTTCAGGCAGACCATCCTTGGCCTCCACTAAACATACCAGACTTAACAGCCCAAAGCTCTCTATTACACCCTGCTTCTCAGTCACTGGCTTAATAGCATGGCTATTAATATCCAAGTCCTAAAGTATAGAGGGGTGTTTCAGACTCTTTTTTTTCCACTTCACTCAAAGTCCCAACTCCTTCAAGAGTCACCATTGAACATTGTAGGCTTACTTTTCATGGTGCAAAGACAGACAGCAGCTGCACACTAGGGAATACTCAATGGTATTTTGACCTTTCTTCAGTCTGGTCTTGACCAGTGTCTGACCCAGAGTATGTTCTAGGGACAGTTATCTGCTTTATCTTTGAAATTCAGACGAGCACCAGGTTGAGACCTCAGAGTCCCCTTCTTTGAGCCAATTAGAGACACTTATAAGGTTGCCTTCCTGATAGCCATTACATTTGTAAGGAATGCTTGACAGCGGTTTCTTGTAAAGAGCCTTTTCTTGTTTTGTAAGAAAAGGATGAGGTGGTTTTGAAACCAAAACCTTCTTTTCTACCTAAGGTGGTCTCTTATTTCTATCTCATTGAGGACATTGTTCAGCCATCCCCCTGTCCTGCCCTAGAACATGAGAAGAAATTGTCCCACACTGCTTTAATGTGGTCAGGGCTGTCAGGATTGAACTAATAGCAATGGCCTCCATTTGCAAGGTCTTTCTTAGTTCTGCCTCTAGGTCTTCGACCAGGACATCCTAAGTCCTGCCTCACAATTGCCAAGTGATCAGACAGCTTATTTCCAGGGTGTAGGCCCTTTAGAGACAAGGTTCCTGCCCCATCCGTACATATTCTACCAGGGCTGTTGGTGTCTCTTGGGTTTCAAGCATCTGTATTCCAGATTGCAAAGCCCCCACCTGGTCCCCCACACATTCTGAAAGTTCTTCCAGGTGGATGTTCAGGCCTCAGCTGATCTGAGCTTTGGCTATAAGGAGCTTCAAGCGGTTATCTGTGTTCTTTAACCTTTTCTTGGCCTGTTGGCTTTTGTTTGCTGCTATGTTATTGCCTACCCTTCAGTTTATTGCCTGGGGACATCCCATGAATACAAGTTCTATACTGTGCAATTATGATAATAGGAATTTCTATTGCCTGTACAAGACACAGTCCCTCCCCTCTGTGTTTTAATCACTCCTTATTGCTTGTAAAAAGCTGGAGTCTCCTGACTGGGCAGAGTTATGAGTGTGCACTAGGGGTGGCCCTTGCAAGTTTTTTTTTTTTTTTTTTTTTTTTTTTTTGCCAAGGCCTAATCATCTGAAGGTAGCCTGTGTATAACATTGGTCTATATATACAAGTCCTGTACTGTACTCCAATATAAGGATTTTACAAGTAAAAAAAAAAAAATTCCAGTTTTACAAAAGTGTTACACTTTAGGTGGCTTATTCTTGCTAGTTTTGAAACCCCTCTGACTGAAATCTAAATGTAGCTGCAAGGGAAGCCATTGGCTCTCATGGTAGCCATAGAGTAGGCAAATATGTACCTATTTGGTTTTCAGACGCATTAGTTTCCTAGTTTATTCTTACCAAATGATCAAAAATTGGGTAATGTGAATGGAATATCCTAAATGTCACCCAAGTGTATTACTTGAAATGTAAGTATTTGAGAGGTGATTGAAAGCAACATATTTGTCCACATATGTGGCCAGCACTGGGGTATGAAAAGTTCCAATGTGTAGATTTTTCACCATTCACTAAGTTCCTTTAATGCTTTTTTTTTTTCTTCCCTTTTTTACCAGGTTCTGTGACATTCAGTTCCAAGGTCCACTTTCTATTCAGGAGCAGTGGGTTCGTCACCTGCAGCATCATATATTGGAAATGAACTTTTCAAAGGTCCTCAGCCCACCCCATGCTGTATCATCTCAGGAGCAGTCAGAGGCTGTGAAGACCCAATAAGTCAGCTTTGCAATGACTTAGACAAGATGTCTGTATTGTCTACAGTGGGAGAGAGCAAGCCACAGATTATGTGAAAGGCTTGTAGATGGTAGCGTGGAATTTATAACAAAAATCCCATGCAAGGTCTGAAAGACAAGATGCTCTATAAAGCGTGTGAGACAAAACAGATTATGTCTGGGTATACAGTAAGGGAAGATCAGCTGCATTGCATGAACATCTTTTAGTAGGCTGGACTTGCAATAATTAGAGTGACGGATGTGGGAGATGAGGTGCTATGGGGAACATCAGGGGCATGTTTTGAAGCTTTTTAATAATATGGTTAAATGTTGGCAATTTATCAAATTTTGTATGATTGGTCTCTGATGTGTAGAATGTTGTGGAAGGTGATATAAATGAACATGGGAAGAATAAAGATGTAAGATGGGTGTTTTTGGATCTGACATGTTGGTGTTTCACTGTCCCTTTTGAAAGGAAATTCCTAGTGACCTGTGCTTTTGCTGCTAACACAAAGCAGAGTTTTTGTTCTTTTACCTATTCACTGCAATGTCTTTCTTCTACAGTGGTGCTTGGTCTTTATTCCCCCTTAAAGCAGAACTAAAGTCTGAAATCCTTCTTTCTGCTTCAACGGTCCGACACTAGCAAGGTCCCTCACTGGCATCTTTCCGGCTTTTTTCAGATGCTGGTCTTTGGCCATCTTGATTTGCCGGTGCAGGATGGTATCACCATGTGCATGAGCACAGTCATTTTGGCACACAGGCACTGTGCCAGATCGCAGTCTGAGCTGTACATTCTGCAGAAGACTATGAGCAGGCAGGTAGGTTTATTTTATTGCTGGAGAGACACTTCTGTAATAAAGAGCTTGCCTGCTCACTAGGTTTTTTTTTTTCCCTAATTTCAGATTTTAGTTCGAATTAATGCACATTACAAACATCACTTATAAAAATCATTTTTACTGCTTCCTTAGATTTCCTCTATTAGCTTTGAACTTGGAGCTTAGACTGAACATATGGGCAATGCTTATTGCTTTTTTTTCCTTCTTTTTAACACTGGGATACAATTTTAAAAATGCTCTATACTCCCATCCAGGGAGATTTCCCCACTTAAAGGATAAGTTCACCTCTCATAACATTCCCCAAGAATAGTGCTGCGCTGCCCCCTAGTGACCCAAAAAATAAACTAATAAACACCCTCATGAGCATCAAACCCAATGTGTAATTGAATTAAATCTGTGAAACAAAGTCATAGTAAATAAAAAAAACTGGCTGAGCCACTAAATCCAAATGATATGTGAAACATATATCAAAAATAAACAATAATCAAGTAGCAATAAACACCTGGCCAACCTATAATAATCACCCGTCTGAGCTGAAGAATAAAGTGTAAAAAAAAACAAGAACAGTAAAATATGTGAAACGTATATCAGAAGTAAAACATGATCATAATGGCAGTAAACACCTAGCCTAGCTGTAATAAACACCCAGCTAAGCTGAAGCATAGAGTGCGAAAGCCAACAAAAACTGTTGTAAAATTAATGTCTGGCTGAGCAATCGGCCCCCCAATGGAATAAATAGGTGATGAATCAAATAAATGTTCAACTGGGCTGGATAGTCACAAAAAGTGCAGAAAAAAAAAGAGACAAGCAGCTCTACTGAATATATACAAAAAACAGATACATGGTGAATGATAGATAACAATTAATAAAGCGCAAAATGAAGTTGAAAAGTGATATAACAGTCTTTCTTACAACATTAAAAGAAATGCACCAGTAACTTCAACAGGTGTGCAAATCTATCGTGCTCCTCCACCTTCAGACATGCACGCTCACCTTAACAGCTGACCCACTGAGAATATAGGTCAACATGTGCCCAATATTGATCCCACTGGATCCTCTGCTTCCACAGGTCTCTTCAGGCACTCGCGGGAACAATCCTTTACGTCCTCACTCTGATGGATAGGTGCTCAAAAGATAAGAAACAAGTTACTCTGCATAGTGTAGTAAGGTTTTATTACATAAAAATGCCACTCATCTAGAAACAAGGTTCACAGAACCTATTACAAGCATTTAAGGGAAAAGCAGGGTGAACACAGATGACAGCTCACGCATGCACCAAAAAAAGTCACAAGCTTCCGTCCTGCGTGTTGAGTCACATGTTCTATCACTTTTGGACTTCATTTTGCACTTTATTAAGTGTTCTCTATCATTCACCATGTATCTGTTTTTTGTATACATTCAGTAGAGCTGCTTATTGTTTTTTTTATTTTTTCTTCAGTTTTTGTGAAAATCTAGCCCAGTTGAACATTTTATTTGATTGATCACCTATTTATTCCATTGGGGGGCTGATTGCTCAGCCGGGGATTCATTTTACAGCTGTTTGTGTTGGTTTTCACACTTTTTATGCTTGAGTTCAGCTGGGTGTTTATTACAGCTCGGCTAGGTGTTTACTGCTATTGTGATCATGTTTTCTTTCTAATATACGTTTCACATTTTACTGATCTTGTTGATTTTTACACTTTATTCTTTAGCTCAGCCAGGTGTTTATTATAGGTTGGCCAGGTGTTTGTTGCTACTTGATTATAGTTTATTTTTATATATGTTTCACATATCATTTGGATTTAGTGGCTCAGCCATTTTTTTATTTACTATTGGCTTTGTTTCACAGATTTATTCAATTATGCACTGGGTTTGATGCTCATGAGTGTATTTATTAGTTTATTTTTTGGGTCACTAGGGGGACAGCACAGCACTATTCTTAGGGAATTTTATTGATGTGGGAACACATTTGGGTACTTGCAGCAGCTTTTTTATTTTTGGCAGCGCATGAGTATTCTATCCTTGCCTTTCATAACGTTACATGTTACACCCATGTTCATGGTGTAACATGTTACAAATGGACCAGCCTCTGCTCCTCCCCGATCCCTGTTGTGACAGCTAGCGGGGGATCTTCTCCTCCCTGCTAGCTGTCACAATTAAAAAAAAAAAAAAAAAAAATATTCTGTGAATGAGAACACTACAAGTTCTGATAGCCTTTGCGGCTGTTGGCTTGTAGTTCATTGAGTCTTCCTGTCAATAGGTATCCGATTGCCCGTACGGGCACACAGACACACTGACAGGTCTGCAGGAGACCTGCATGGCACCAGCGATCCTTTAGAGGTTCCAGAAACAAAAATATTAAATGAATATTTTTTTTTTACCTGCAAAAAAAATGTGTATTATTTTTTTGTAAAAAGATGAACTTATCCTTTAAGTCCAATTGCCTGCATCAAGGAGTTTGGAACTTATCTTTGTCATATTTATTTCTAATAGGCCTCTAATGGGAGGGATCTGGTTTGACGTGCAGGAATTACCTTCTCCTGAGTCTGAGCAGGGAGTCGTGGTGGTTAAATCTTTGCACTGGTGTACCATCTAGTTATAAGAGGCTTGTGACTTCTAAGGTGTCTACATCTGCCCAAAGCTAAAAGAATACCTCTGGTGTATTTAGTTCTTAAAATGTTGGTCAACAACAACCAAAACCAACTAAATTACATTTCTGTTCTAGTGATGGCAGTGAACCCATGGTTAAGAACTCATTAGGTGCCAACTTAAAAACAAACATTTCAACCATGTCTCCTCACTTGTTTTTGAGGAATTGCATAGCTATAGTAACCTCACGGTACACCTTTGCGAAATTTGTAACCACTTCCACATTGCCAGGGTTGCCATGTGATCGAGGCAGGGGCCTTTTATGTATATAATAATATACACGTTGTATTATTGTGGTTGTATATATTGTCACGCGACCAACTCCACCCCCCTACCCCCTTTTGGGTAAACACATCTTTAATTTTGGTTCTTTTTCATTTTTAAGATGCTCTATACAAGATCTGTTGACCATTTTTATATTCAGAAAATAACATAAACCCTTTTTCAAACCTGAATGTATTAGATACACAATTTTCAGTAAACACCCCATCACAGTGTATTAAAGTGATATGCCCTTAATAGGATTTGGGCACGGCTCGTATAAATATCTCCCACCTCCGTGTTGAGGTATTTTATTTATTTAAGTAACTAGGAGTGATAAATTTGTCTTTTCCTAAAAAGACTTGTATACATCCTATATTTTCTAGTTTAGTATTTTCTTCCTTTTACTGAGAGGGTATGTAATGTATGGATGCAACAGTATGGGCTTAGTAACAGTGCAGAGGGTTCAGTGACCCATGACAGCCAGTCATAAACATGTTTTCAGCATCTTGGTAATCATAGAATTTTGGTTGGGTGCCATAGGTTAAATTGTGTTCTTGCCTTATTATATAAGCCCAGCAGTTGTCTTCCATTGTACAATCCCTCAGTTCTTTTCACTGGAAGCCATAAATTTTATTTTTTGCTCCCTTACTGCAGAAAAGTCCTCCCATTCACCCCATTGTGAAATATTGTGTAGTATAGCAATGGGAAGCTGCAGCTGCTTGCACATACATATTTAAGCTTTGCATCTATCAATACAGTTTGGCTAGCCAATGGTAATTTGTATTTTATTTTTTTTTTTTTTTTACACAATTTCTGGCCCTGTAAGGGCAGCTCATGGTTTTTTATTATATTTTCCTCTCCTTCCCCCCGAGGACTACAATGTGTGTTTTTTTCTTTCTTCTTCTTCTTCTGTTCCTTATGCCTTCTTTTCTGTACACACCTTGTAACTTGCAATTTTATTTACGATTTCAGTTAACTTTGATTTAATACTTTGTGTAGAATTCAAGTAAAACAATCAGTTTTTACCCTGGATGCGTGTGCTTTATTTGTAGTCCAAATATGGGATTTATAAAATCAAACTTTGGCAAAAATTTCCTCTCGTTACTTTGGAACTTTGAGTGCCTACATCAAATACGACTGTACAAAACAATAGCTGCAGTTGTTTTTCATAAGTCGGCACTCCAGCTAAGCAGTTAACCCTTGGGTCCTGAGTTGAAATAGCACTAGGCACACTAACCACAGAGTTTGGTAGGATCTTGTGAATGCATTTTTTCTC